GGTACAAGGTACAAGAAGAACATAGGGATAAGATGTGATGCATGCATATAGCGAATGTAACATCCTGTGGTCCAGAGAGAGGCTAGTGCAGGTTTACATTGTTACGTGGTCCATCTAAGTACATAAATCAAAGAGTGAGCATCTTTGGTCGCCTTTATTGTCTCTTCGCTGGTGTAGCTCGTACGTCTTCGTTCGGCTTATGTTTAGGACACATCTTATCTGATATGGGGACCTTTTTGCACCTTAACCTAGGCAACAAGTATGAGCTGGTATATTTCATGTAATGTTTATTTAGCCAGTTGATGGGTTAGTTCTTATATTTAGACTCTAGGCTCCTGAAGCCTACTATTTACATGTCTTACAAATGTCTCAGGCTCCTAGGATGCTCAACAATGTCAGAACTAATTTGAAAATCCTTCTCATGTCTGAAGTCAGTGTTAAATCATTTACAATATATTGTAATGTGCTAGCTCATCAGAAACGTTTAACGTAGCAAATGATTGGCATGATTTATGTTTACCATCCCAAGCACCTAACTGACATTCCACCTGATTGAGTTTCATGCCTGTGTTTCTAATATTGTAGGTTTTAATATCCCCTGGCCTGGGCTGCTTAAACATTTAAATGTCATCGAACTTGTGTGACCCTTTTAAAAACAAAGCTTAAAATGATACCCCCTAGTTCAATGACCAAGAGATTGACCCTTAAAGTGGCACTGCCAACCCTTCCCCACCTTGAAAGAATCTTTATGAAATACTAATTTTTTTATTTTTTATATTCTTTATTTTTCTTGTGCATATGATAACAACAGGCGTGTAGAGCCACAACAGCATCTACAAGCATTTTCAAGACATTTCAAAGTGTGGCAGTTTGGTCGGCACATTTTTGTATAATCATGAAAATAACAAGCTGTTAAACATTGCTTTGAGAACATAACATGCTAGTGTAAGTAGGCATATTAAAAATGAGACGTGAGTTTAATCTAACATGCTAATCTAACCACAAGACATACTGTGTTGGCTGTAGCGTGGTTCAAGTAGGCCAGGCTAATGCCGATTGCTTATATAACATAACACATCATGCCAGTGTGATTAGGCGTGTCAAAAGTTAAACGTAAGTTTGATAAAACATGCAAATTAACATGCTAAACTAATAACAGGCTGAGTTAAGACATACTGTGTTTGCTGTAATATGGTTCAAGTAGGCCAGGCTAATGCCGATCACTTATATAACATAACACATCCTGCCAGTGTGACTAGGCGTGTCCAAAGTTAAACGTAAGTTTGATAAAACATGCCAAATTAACATGCCAAATTAACAACAGGCTGAGTTCAGACATACTGTGATTGCTGTAATATGGTTCCGTTAGGCCAGGCTAATACAAGTTGTTTATTTAACATAATATGCTAGGGTAACTAACCGCATTAAGAGTTAAACGTAAGTCTGATAGGACTTGCTATATTCACTACATGCTGTGTCAAGACATACTATATTTCACTGTGGTGCGATCCCGCCAGGACAGGCGTTTAGTTATGTACTTGGTTATACTGTCTGGGTGCTTAGAGAAGGTTTGTCAGCAGTGGCACAGGGTTCGGCAACAGTTAGAGAGCGTCTGTTTGGAGGGGCCAGTGATTCAACCGATACCTCTGGTGGGCACCCGTATGCAGTCTCTGCTCTGGTCGGTTGTAGAGTGTGCGCGGTAGGTCGGGCCTCTTGGGGCTCCCGGTCTTGCTGCTGGTTGGAAGTGGGGTGGGGATAATCCCCTTTCCCCGATGTCACGTTGGGGTTGTGCCGCCCGGGTACCCCTGGGCTGGGAGTCCGCCCCGGCGTTCAGCTGCACGGGTCCCTGGGTTGTAGCTGTGGCCTGTAGGGGTTGAGCAGAGCTGTACCGAGCGCTGGCTCCCATTCCAGGTGAGTCTCCTATGTGGGTGGCTGGTTTAGCAGTCTCGCTCTTAGGACTGTAGGGGTAAGCGCTTGTACCTGAGCAAAATGGCTTCCTTGTCCGCTTATGGGATTGTTGGTATGTGTGTGGCCCGGCTGCCTTTCCTGACGCCTGTAGTGGTTGTAGTGGTTGCCTGTAATGGCGGCGTCGGGCTGCTGGGCGAATCCACGTGGCCACTATTTTCACCGCAAGGTGGAAGGCTATCCCGCGGTTGCACAGCATAGTCCATAGGCCCGCACAGAGCCTATCGAAGTCCCCCAAGGGGTTCATGGGTGGTTGGGCATGTGTGCTCCGTTTCCTGGGCCCCTGCTGGGCGGCCATCTTAGGCTGCGTTTCAGTGGCTCGGTGCCTCTGTAGTCGTCTCAGACTGTATTTGTGCCATCTGTTCCGGCCTGTCCGTCTAGGGTGGACCGGGATGTCCCCCCCGGTCCAAAGGGGGGGGGGTTTGCTTGTTTCGTCGCTGAAGGGCCTCGGTGTCAGGGAGAGCGGCCGCCTCACCCCGGCCCCTGTCCCAGTAGGCCGCACTTTCTTTTGGCCCCCCTGGCCCCGACGGGCTTCAGGGTGGTATCAATCTGTTCAGCAGCACACCCCCGACGTGGGTAGTGCACCCTCAGAGGTATGTGAGTGGTCTAGTTGCGGCTTTTGCCCCAATTGCTGCCCGCCGGGCAGGAGCTCATGCTACACATGTCTGCACGGCTTGGTGGTTCGGCTCCGCCCCCCATGAAATACTAATTTTTGTTGTATTTTTTACTGAAATTCCAACTAGTCAAGAGATATCCCAAGACAAAATGGGAACTACTTTGTTTATATATATTTTCTTCACGTAACTTTCTTAGACACTGGGCAGAGCTACAGTGTCAATCCCGACAGCCATCACCAGGTAATTGGCTCTGTGTATGGATGGTCCAGCAGGATCAGGCCTGCACAACCTGCACCCTCCCACCCCCCCAGATGTTTTGAACTACAACAGCCATGATCCCCTGGCTATCTGTTTCATTCAAAAAAACATTTGCGTTGGCTGTTTCATTAAATGAATCATAGGTGTTGTAATTTAAACTTGAGGGAAGAGCCTACACTCTGCTTCAGTCAACCAATGACATTTACAAAGGTTAATTTAAAAAAAAAAAAATGAAGGCTTCATTTGTGCATATCACTGGCTACCTATTAGTTTTACTTTCGACACTATCAAATGCTGATTATGTCAAGTATTGATCTACAGTGGTTTTAAAAGGATCTCTCATACATTATACAGAAGTTGGTGTGAGCTTTTGAATTATTGAAGGACCACTAAAGGCAATGTAATGACCCTATAGTTATTTATATATATATATATATATAGTAAAATCACAATTCAAAGTTTAAACATGATAAATATAAAGGTTTGAAATAACTCCCCTTAAAATAAAAGTATAAACCCCGAGACTACTTCTCTTCTCGTCTCCAAAAGAAAATATATCCATATTATCCCCTCTACTAACCCGAGTATAAGGGAGGAGTCTTTATATATCAGTTTGTTTAGTTTTATCCCTGCCGAAACATTAGCACAAACGGGAAGGAAGTGGCAGTGATTGGCCATCCACTGCAAGCAAAGAATAGAAATTGATTGCTTGTGACAGGCTAAAAGAGTCAGATGTTCTCAGCCAATCACTGCTGCCCTTTCACTGCTCGAGCTAATGTTTCCAAGAGGTAAAGACTAAGATTTAACGCAAACCTAGGATTGCACTGGTAACTCCAGGTACAACAACATTGAGGTAACAGGATGGTGCCCAGAGTGTTCATTTAATATAGATAAGGAAGAAACCATGGCTTTGCATTCTGTGTGTTTAGTATAACGTTTCCCATGAGTTTCTATGTCTCTTTAAGAAGCTTGAGGTGTCTGTATCAGAGGATAACAAAAAAAACAAAGGCAGTTAATAAATGAACAAGCTAGCCAAATGAATCAAATGCCTTCTTGTGTTTTTGTAACAGACTGGTTTCTGTGTACTTGAAGCTGTTTTTCAAGGTGCATTCAACAACTTGTTTGCCCAGTACATTTTTTTTTTTTCTATTTAATACACAACCTGCAGAAAAAAAGTAAACAATTTTACAAACACCCAATAGTTTATTGCCAAAAATAACGTGAAAAACTTCATCCGACCAAATATTGATCAAAACGTCTGCCACATTGAATCTGATGATTTGATTGCATATTTTTTAGCAAAGTAACATTTATTTGCATAAACGAAGGATGCAAATACTTCAACTTTTTCTTAGTGGCTTCCTCAATTTACAAAGTCCTTCTTTGTTGAGACATGAAGTTGGTTTTGTATAGGATCTGCCAGAAACAGGGTTTCATTGCTGCGTAGCTTAGTTTGTAGCATGATTAAGATTTACAAACCTTTTCCCACTAAGAACGCATTTGTGACCGTGTGCAGATTTTAATAGAAAAAGTTTCAATTATAAATTAAACTTGTTACACCCCTCTGACTGTCAGACAAGCTGTTCGGTTACACCTTGGTTTCTTAGCTCAGTGGAGCTAAATTTAAAAGGCAGCAATTGCTCAGAGCACCTGCCTTGCAAAGACTTCACAATGAGCGGCTTTCTGAAGACTGTGATTTCACAACCACATAATTAAAAGGGGGCGGGTGCTTGCAAAGGCTGCAGGAAAAAGATATGTATCTTTTGCAAGCTGGTTTTAAGATATACTGCCAATAAAAAAATGCTAAATTAAATGCATACATTTTCATTGGGCTAAACCATTATTTACATTTTTTGGGGGCGGTGAAGTGTCCCTTTAAGTTGCCTCCACTCTTTTTACAGGTCATCTGAGAAAAGTGGTGCTTTCGTAAATAACGGGATTGCACTTTCAGGTGTTAAAAATTATTTTATTTTTTTAAACAAACTTTTCCATTGATTGGAGAGACTAACAAGTTGAGAAACAGATTTCAGGAATTAAATCTGCTTTCTTGCAAATTTTGAATATATAACATGGTGATTTTATTAAATAGGAGTACATTTGTAAATTAAGACTATTCTGGATCCAATATTTCATAGAGAAAATAAAAAAGGTATTGACTGTATACTTTCATTCCTGCAACAGAATTACACCTGATCTGAGTACTGGTTTTTATCTCTATTCATCCTAGTTTATTTTTACTATATTCCAGTTTTTTTAATAATATCCAGTCCTTTGCTTACTTCCCTCACATCCTGTTCGTGTTGCTGACCTGGGTTCACGTGTATCCTTAGGTGGGGACTGTTCCACCTAAAGCTCTATACACTAAAGCAGGTCCTTGCTCAAGGTCAGGGGTCCTCAAACTACAGCCTGTCAGGGTCCGGAACCCAGCCCAAGCACTCAGGGCCACCTGATAGGCCCTATATCTTCAGGGGCCAGGTCAGCGCTGCGGCCGTGCAATAGAGCGACCGGGCAATTAAAAAAAAAAAAAAATAAATAAATAAAAGCTGCAAAGTACTGCTGGGAGGAAGTGACAGCCGGTGGTCACTTCCTCCCAGCTCCCTCCATGAGGGAAGAGAGCCAGGCCGCAGGAGCCACGCCGACTGCCATCAGCCACACTCCTGCAAAAAAAGGTAAGCAAAATTAGCTGTGTGTGTATGTAGGTATATATGTATCAGTATGTGTATGTATGTATGTATGTCAGTATTTGTGTGTCAGTGTATGTCTGTCTGTATCTGCATGTATGTGTCAGTATGTGTGTGTGTGTATTTCAGTATGTGTATGTAGGTCAGTATGTATCTCATTATGTATGTGTGTGTATGTATGTATGTATGTGTGTGTATTTATGTCCTTATGCGTGTGTGCAGTGTGCATAGGAATTCGTTAATATTTTTTATAGTCCGGCCCCCAGTGTCTGAGGGACCGTGAACTGGCCCCCTGTTTAAACGTTTGAGAACCCCTGCTCTAGATCATAAGTAGGTTTTATCCTTTTACAATTACGGTCACAATTGGATTTTTTTTTATTTTCTCTTTATGTATGGTGACCTTTTATCCACTTGAGAGTCAAGCACTGCTGACAACTATAAAGATATCCTTAGACTGGGATTATTCCGTCCAGGCCCATGAAATAGAGCTTATATAGCTCCATAAAGTGTGAGTGTTCCCCCCTTTTGGCACTATTTTGTTAATATGCTGCACTATTATTGTGTTCTTTTTCCTTAAGATACCGCCCTCTCCTTCTACGTATGTAATTTGAAGCTCCAGCGCTCTTCACCTGGTTTTGTTTGTACTGATTTATATTTCACAAGGGTGGGGGAACTCCTTGTTGGTGAACTGCAGCTACTGTACCAGATAGAGAGTGCTTATTCTATTTCGTTATAACTTACCATTTCTGATAGTATATTCTCTGAACTGGCTATAGTAACAGCTTGGCTTTGCCAAAGTTTAAATCTTGCAACTTGTTTTTTCAATTCACTACATTTGGAGATTTATGGAATGAACGCAAAAAGATTTTGGTTACCAACAAATCACCAATTCAGCATGGACTATTTTGACATTCAATTTTCAATTTATATTTTGGTGATTAATACAAGGAAAGAAGGAAAATTTGCAAAAACAATACAACAAACTAAAGATTTCAAACTTTTATTTTAAAAGCTGAAGATGATAGTTTTATTGTAGTAAATAGTTCAGTTTCATTATGGTGTGTAGCTTCAGTCTAATACCAATGAACTAAAAACAGCAGCACATTTTGTTTCAGTTTTAACAAAAGTAAAACTTTTTTCGGTAATAAATAGCTTTTAGGGTTTTTTTATTTTTTTTTGCTTTAAAAGTTTCTTCTTCCCTAATAATAAAAACAGAGCATTCTTTGCGCTCCGACGTCCTTGAGAATTCCTCAAGTCAGCTCTGTAGTGACTGTGGTCCATGTGACTCCCATCGTTCACAGATGACAAGATAACTCAATTGCTTGTCAGGAGATATCCACTGCATGAGTTTTCAGGCCTAGTGAAACTCTAGGAGAACAGCTGTGCTCGGGATTCTCTCATCTTTGGGGGTGGGGTACAGACTGAAAGAGAGAACAGAGATAAGGTTAGTACATAGCGTATTTCAAAAATATTGAAAGCAATGACAGAGTCAAGCATCAGCAAAATGAACAAAGTGGTAAAGACGAGAGGAAAAAAGAAAAAAAAAAAAAAGAAAAAGCTAGACAGGTTTGTGTAACAGTCACTGGTTGATTAATACATTTTAGAACATGAAGCAATATTTTTATTTTATCTTGTTTTTGGTCTATTTATCTACGTAATAAACAGAATCAGTAGATCGGTCGTAAGCAAGGCACGATTCTCGGGGAACTTGAGTACCAGTGAGCATTTGTACTCTGCAAGCATTAATAGTGACTTAAGTGTTAATCTGATATATCCATATATTTTTTTTATGGCTTCTGGCAAAGTTTCTTACAGGTAGGTAGATCATCTAAAAAAGACATAGAATGGTTAATAGTTTTTATAGTTCAGATCACAATCCCCACCAGATCATATTTTTAAAGAAAAAAAATAAAAACATCGTTTATAAGACCAGCATGATCATTATACTCTTGGTTATCATCTAAATTGGGAATGGCGGAGAATTGGCCAAGGAATTACATATTTAGGCAATATAAACAGGGCAGGAAAATACATATTCTAGGCGATTAGTAAATTAGTTGAAACTTTAGTGAACTGGGAAAACAGGTCAGAGACCAGCACACCAATGGAAAATATCAGTAGTTTACTCTATGTAATCAATCAGAACAGTATCCTACTTTAACAGGTAGATTGCTATAATGAATTCGTTACAGTCTATACTAGGTGAGCTCAGTGTGATTATTGGTGCGGCAGTTTTCTAGCAGTCGGGATTGTGCGTTAGCGGAGGTGGTTACAGTAGCAAGCTTTCAAATTTATTAATGCTTTTTTAAAAGTGGTCCATGTTCATCATATATGTATCAACCTATTGTTCCTGCCAAATTTTTTAATAGTTGGTTTCATTTGTTAAAGTCCCCTTAATATTTTAAAGTGCTGTGGAATCTTTTAGAGCCATGTTAATAATTATAAATGCTTTCGCATACATTAGTACCAAGTACACTTCTAAAGATGCAGAATTAGCTCTCAGCCGATGAATGACACTCTGAATTGTTGCACATATAGACTCCATAATACCAGGACCGCCCCCCCCCCCCCAAATCAAAGTGGTCATGGTACAACCTTTGAACAAAAAGCTCCTCTCGTTTGCCATTCAGGATGCAGACATTTTACTTGCAGATTAGAGATTTACAGGAAAAAAAAAAAAAATGTCCAACCATGGCTGGTTATGACAGGTTGTAAGTGCTGGGATAAACGTTCAAAGCGTTTAGACGGATACACTTTTAAATTGAGTATTCAATGTTAAAGTGAACTTGTAACTGCCAAAAGCTTGCAGGTTACCAGTTCATATTGAGAACACACACACGCACACTTTTTAGATTCAGGAGAAGAGAGGGGGGCAATCGGCAACCCCAATATCTGCTACAAATTGCCAAAATAATCTCAATTGAACAATCTTAGTCAATTGATTCCACTTGCTGAAATTGTTTTTTCAAAATTTAGTTAGGTTATATTGCTTATACCACTGAGTGCAGAGTATGTTGACAATAAATAAAACCATTGTGTAAAAATCTTAACAATTTTCTCATCTCAACTATTGGGGCCTGGAACAGAGGGCAAGTGAAATACTTGCTGTCATTCTATTTTGTATACACATAACAAACAGCAAAGTTAAGTTTCAACCAGGGTAAATGATAAATTTACTGCCTCTTCAGATTTATAAATATTTACTCCAAGACAAAAATCAGCAGGAGGGGATAGGCTGCGGAATAGACAGGATTGCTGAGCAATAAACACCAGTGATTGATGACAGAGCTATCAAAACCACTTGGGACTCTGCAAGGCCGCAATCAATATTAAGAACCAACATAATTAGACATCCTAATCAGAAACTCACAGGCTCTCCACCTTTCTAAAAGCAGATGAAGGATTGCTTATTGCCTTCACGTTAACCTATTATTGGCCAAACTCAAGCTATATGCTTGTTGAGCAAAGACAACCAAGTTAATATAAAATACCATTCGAGTTATTTAAAAAATAAAAAAATTAAATTAAATAAAGTATTTCAAAAAACCTTTGCTTCCTAGACAATATTTTAAAATATATATATTGAAAATAGACAATGCTTTAAAAACCATTGCAAACTACCATTCAATGAGTGGGTTAACACTGCTTCTGTCAGAAAGAATTAAAAATAAAAATGTTATGTCCAAGGAGCTTTACCAAAGAAGTACCAAGACAATGTTTTAGTTATCGTAAATGGAATAATATATGAACAAGAACCTGTACAATGAACATAAGTTGGTTTGGATGTAATGCAAGGTATTTTTCAGACAGATTTGCATAAAATTACACTGTAGATGACTCCAGCTCATTGAAGTTGTCTGGGTGCACTGTATTATTGCAGGTTTGTTTTTGTTTTTTTTAAACTGCAATAATTAGCTTTGTGGGGTAACTACACCTCTAGTGGCCATCTACCAGACAGCCACTAGAGGGACTTACGAGTGGGAGGAACATCCAGCGTCAGCTAAAACCCCAAATACTAATGCCATTGCCACACCTGCGCATTAGGTCTCCCCGCTGGCTGACATCAACATGGGGGAGCGGAGGTGGCCCCTAGCCAGCGCAGATGGACATTGGCGCTAAACGCAGATAAGTGTCAGAAGAGGTTTTAACCCCTTCTGCACCATGGCAGGGGAGGTGGGCACTATAGTTTCCCTTTAAGATTGCCCCTCCTGTGCCAGATGCCAGAACATTTTACTTCCACCCTTTGCAGTCCATATTGTGTGAATGGTGGGCACACATCATGCAGGTCTCTGCCACCTCCCAAGGGCCAGCGGTGTACATGCCATCAACAGTCTGGGTAAATACCTTACAAGTTACATTCACAAAACCTGCGCAAGTGGCAATCTGAAGTCAACTTCTGCATTTAGATTATTCAGGTTTTCCACTCAAAATTTGATTAGTAGGGCAGTAGCTGGAGCAGAACTACGTATGCGAAAGACACCTGCTAAACAGAATTGGAGACACCCGATTGGTGGAGAATTTTCCTGCTCTCTGTTATGTGCTGTACAAGTGCAGCAACTTTAGGACTTAAACTGGGTAATTTGCAGCCTGGCATATCTAATAGAATGCTCCACACCCCTCCCTTGCAACCCCCCCACCCACCTATAAAGGGTTCCCCAACCCTTTATTTACTCAATTCCAGCATCAACGTCCCTCCGCTCTGGGTCAGCAATACACCCTCTCTGACGTGGGGACCTAATGCATGGCAAGCGCACAAGCATATAGGGTAGCTTTGGATGTCCTCTAGAGTCCAGTAAACTCCCGGAAGTGCCTCTAGTGGCGGTCTGGTAAAAGCCACAAGAGGCTCAAACTGCAATGTTTTACATTGCAGGACTAAGGGGGGCAGGGACATGGCACCCAGACAACTTCATGACCTGCAGTGGTCTGGGTGCTTAGAGTGTCCCTTTAAATAAGGGAGCACTAGGGCCTAACTTTTGAATACGTGTGTACAGAAGGTACAAATCATGAATACAAAGGAGGTACGCTCCACTGAAGCACAACCAGCATGCAATTACCAAAAAACAAACCAAATCAATTTCAAATTGACTCATTTACAATAGGTTTTAGGAACGGATATTTAATGTTAGGGGTATACCTGGTTATCCAGAAGAATAATTAATTGTATTCACAGACCGGCACAGAGGAATCATACTTTTCGGTATTAGAAGTTTAAAGGCACCAATGAAATCAACAGTTTTACTTTTCTCACAATCCTCAAACAGGCAGTATCTGTTAGTAACACATCTTAATGCAATTCTAGATATTTATTATAGGAAACCACATATGGATTTATATATCGTACACCATAAGCACTAAACAATAGCTGATAGGAGGAGGGAGTGTGGGGGGGGGGGTCTCCTGACAGCTAAGAGGAAGTAGGGTGCGGCAGCCAACGCACCACAGGTAAAAAGTCAAAAATAATTTGACCATTTATAAAAAGGGGTGTGGGCAGTGCACTCGGGTCACCATAACCACGACAGTACATTTTAGCGTTTACCACTACAATCTGCTGTAATTTTTACAGTGCTTGGAGTGTTCCTTGTTTTAATTCTTAAACTTAAGACTAATTAGATAATTCTCTACTAGGTTTCCCAACAGGTAAGTGGCCAAGTTTGTACACCATCAGCATTATATACCAAACGTGAACAAATTATGCCCAAAAGGCAACATAGAAACGAAATTAACCTGAGAAAAAAAACGTATCCAGCTCACTTGAAGTCACATTTTGGCTACTTTAGCCTTAATTTGCTATAATTACGTGTTTTGCGAAAAACCGTGTGTTATTCAGCCTCCAGAACCATCAAGCAGAGCCATCATCAGTATATTATGTCCACATTTCCATGTCATGAATAATTGCCAAGACTATAGAAACACCTCAGGTCCTTCCATACCAGAGCACCCTTAACCCATTTAACATATAGAATCCACAGCACAAACATAATGTATAGTACAAATCAGCTGAATCATTAAATAAATCTGCAACTACACATAACCCGAACTGTACTCAACAGTAAAAGGCACTCATAACCAAGAACCTAAAAGCTCTTATGTAACAATGGTCTCATTGGCCAAGATAACATTATTTAATAAAGCTTGTGGAATAAATACAAGAACAAAGCAAGCATTTTACGCGATCTGCAAATATGCCATTACTGGACTGGTTCTCCCAAATTTCACAACACTAATAGTCCAAACTGTACTTTTTTGCAGATTACTTTAAGTGAATAGTGTCTCATCACCAACAGTTTTCCATACGGATTAAAATTAACTTTTATACTCAGGATGTACACACACACACACACACACACTCTAGTCTCCGACGCTCGAGAACACACTAGCAGTAGAATACGACGGTAAAATACTGTACTCTCTGGAGTCCCGTGACAATATGTTACAGCAGCAGGGTTGCAGCATTCCGCACAATGAATAACTCCGATTAAGGGAAGGGAATATCCAGGGATCCTAAAACTGGGGTAACTTACTAAAGTGAGGACAGCCAAGAATTGAATTGAATTTTTAAGTCCAAAATAGACGAACTACAAATATAGCTGACTTTCCAGTTCAACAACTTTGGCCTTAAATAAAAATAAATAAATAATATTTATATATTTATTACAGATACACAGTACTTCTTCCATAAAAAAAATATATATTATTTTATTTATTTATTTTTTACATGATTGAAGTTACGCCAGCACATGTTTTGTAACAGTGCCTTTAAAAGTTCTCATCAGAAAGATATCCAACTATTTGGTTACAAAGTAATGAAATGCAAGCCCTACTACTGTAAAGAGAAGTCTGAAAGTTGAACGCTCAAATGTACTTCCCATATATATGCCACTTTCAAGTTTAATTAGAAGACACATGAATATCTCACGTCTCTCACTTTTATTTAGAAAAGCTTTACAAAATTTTTTAAAATGTATATATAATTTTGACCTCTTTGTACAAAAAGGAAAGAAAAGAAAAAATAAATAAATAGTGGTACTTTTTATAACCATCTGCTTAAAGGGAGTGCCTGTAGGCATTGTAACCACTTTATCTCTTTGAAGTGTCTGCAGTTCCCTGGTGCCAACATCCTGTTCACAGTTAAAGGACATGCATCACTTGCCAATTTATTTTAAAATCAACAAACACTTTTAAACAAATACACTAACCAAAATAAAGAATAAAAACTTTGAAAAGTATGTATGAAAAGATTTATAAAAAAAAATAAAACGAAATATGACTAAACTTTGACAGATTGCATTATTGGACATGTCTCTCAACTAAGGGAGTTTCTTCAGCAACCCCCCTCCCCCTTACCCACTGAGTTCAGTTTCAAATTAGCCCACAAATGACAGAAACAGGGCTTCATTGGGTTCAATTCAGACTCCACAACACCCTTGTTACTGAAAGGGAAAGTAGTTATTAGCTTCAAATCACACCACCCTACACTACACTAGATATTTTAGTCGAACGAATCTCAAACATTGTAGTTGACTAAAATGGTTAGTTGACAAAATAAACACTGATGCACACAATGTGCTGGACATAGGAATTCCAATCCCAGCACACACAGACACACTGCATCCCCAGCGCGCACACACACACTGCACCCCCAGTGCGCACACACACACTGCACCCCCAGTGCGCACACACACACACTGCACCCCCAGTGCGCACACACTTAGTGATTGACGTATATTGTACTTGGCTAATATATTATATTGCACTTGGCTAATATTGTTTTACCACTGCAGAAGCATATATGTTGTGACATTTAATTTAGTGTGAAATTAACTAAATATGTTACTGGAATGTATTTATCTAATCATGATATATATTTCCTTTTAGTTTTAATTATCATAATACAACATAATAAATGTGGGCGTGTTTTGGGGGACCCAGGCAGAAAAAGGTCTGGGGCTGGCCCTGGTATCTGTGTATGTCATTGTATCTGTATGCAAATGAGTGTGTATTTATGTGTCTGTATCTGTGTGTCAGTGTGTATTAGTATGTCTATGTCTAGCTGTATGTGTCTTAATGATTGTATGTGTGTGTATGTATGTATCTGCATGTGTGGCAGTGTGTGTGTCTGTACATCTGTATGTGTGGCAATGTTTATATCTGTATGTGTATCTGCGTGGCAGTGTTTGCATCTGTATGTGTGGCAGTGTGTTTATCAGCATGTCTGTTCAACTGTATATATATATTAGTTTTGCCATGCGTTTGTCTGCATGGCAGTGTTTGTACCTGTGTGTCTTTACATTTGTATATGTGTTAGTGTGTGTCTACGTATGTCCTTGTAACTAGATGTATGTCAATATGTGCATTAGTGTGTCTGTGCAACTGTATGTGTGTCAATGTTTGCATCTATGTATCTGCATGTGTGAAAGTGTTTCTTCCTGTCTGTAAATCATGTGTCAGTCTGTGCAACTGTGTTTGTGGAACTGTATGTGTGTCTCTTCATTTGCAAGTGTATCTCTGCTTGTATCTGTGTCTATGTATCTGCAGGTGTCAGTGTGTGTATCTGTAGGAGTGTGTCATTGTATCAGTACATCTGAATGTATGGCAGTGTTTGTATCGGTGTCTCTGTATCTCTATGTGTGTCAGAATTTGTATCTGCACATGTGTCAGTCTGTATGTTTGTGTATCTACATGTGTGTATCTGCACTGTGAGGAGCCTGGAACAACATATTTTTGAAATAACAGCAACTATAATAATTACTAAATATTTCGCCAATATAATGGGTACTATCTATGGAAATGGGCTGCCAAGGGGTACTCAAGAGAAAAAAGGTTGGGAACCACTGCCATACACCAATGGGAGTTACCATTTACTACCAAATGTCAAACTTGCACTGATGTCCTAGAAGCATACCAGTAAAGTTAGTGCCATTCCAGACAACAGAATCTGGAGCCAACCTCTGAGTAATGCTCAGAAGCCTGTACACCAGAGTTAAAATTAAACACTACACAGCAATATATAACATAACACACTAAGGTCTAAAATTTTAAGGAAAGACAAGTTAAAGTAAGTTTTGGAATAGTAAAATCAGCCTGAAAACTTTACCGCGTCTGTCCGCACAGTGATCTCTAACACAGGACATGTTTGCAAACCTAGAATTCAGTGACTAGTGTGCATGTGAACGTTTACACTTAGTCAACTCACAGGATATATATGTCATTAGTGGACAAGTGAGAGTCCTTGGGATGTCCTTGAGTAAGCAAACTGAATTTCAACACCACTTGTATTTCATTTCTGCGATACAGAGATCAAACATGGCAGACGTGCTGAATTCTGTTCCCATGTTTGCATAAATAGAAAAGAAGGGTTTATGTATAAAATAATTACAGACTGTCAACGTCTAAGAGATTTCTTATACCATGACAGCAGTCCTTTATTAAAAAAAAACAAAACAAAAAAAAAAAACACCACCATAAGAACTAGAGCACGCTGTTGTGCAGGGGTGCCTAAAAAAGGTAGTTCCCCAATGCTTTGTTATTCCAAATGCTTGCAAAGGATCATGGGAGAAGGGGGTCTGTTAGGGGTTTCCTCACCTCCACTACTTCTGAAAGAGAGTTAAGAGCTTCTATGAGAGCTAGCACATTGGCTGAGCACAGCGGCTTATTGTTCTCAGCCAATATAACAAAGTTCAAATCCAATTTTGAGAAAGATAATAGAATATATATTATAGAAAACAAATAAATGAAAAATCATTGTGTGGAGTATGTACAGGATATAAATCCTCTAAAAAGTTATCCCCTCCAAATGGGAGTCAGATACTTCTTTTTGTAATGGAGGAGAGAAAAAAAAAAAAAAAAATAATAATATATAAATAAAAATTGCTAGGATATTCCGGATTTCAAGTTTGGCATTGGGGAGACACATCTTTTTACCTCTCTTACACATATACATGTTAATATTTCTTAATTGAGGATCTTTCCCTTCCCCTTGGTATTAGAGAAATTTCCCAAAATAGTACATTGCAAGAACTACCATCTATGAAAAAAAAAAAAAATTATTATATATATATATATATATATATATATATATATATATATATATATATATATATATATATATATATATATATATATATATTTTTTTTTTTTCTTTGTTCGATTTTACTTTTGCTCTATGTAATGTACTTTGAGGTTGCTCAGCATCTTGTGTACGGTGATTTAAAAAAAAAAAAAAAAATCAAAAAAATCATAGTAGTATATAGAAATAGATATATATTTAAGTTCAAGATCTGTATTAGATACATTTGTATTAGGGCAGATTGAATTACAGGCCTTAAATATGGCTTCTGCACCTTCCTATTTGATAACGAATGTACATAAGGCCTTTACAAGATAGCTGAGAAGGGAAGAACGGATTTTCGATGTGTTAGTCTATTAAACGTGAAGGCCTTTAGCTGAATGCCAACCCCCAGTAGAAATGTTGCATTTGCGGTTCTTTTTACCACTATTGTCATTTAAAGAAACACTAAAGCGTTCGGTATATTAATCTGTATTCCTAACGATTTAGTATCCCCATCACAAATAATCATGGTTCGGTCACAGCAGCTTGCCTCTCTTCCTTCTGCATTGTAGGAGGAGCACCGGAGATCTGACGCGCCTATGTGAAGAGTGCTGGGTGTGCATCAAATTTGACCGTTTTTTACTCTGCTGCTGCAGCAGGAAGCACCTCTTGTGGCAGTCATTAGGACACTAGAGGATATAACTGCAATATAATCACAGAGCTGTTGTTCGCACTTTGGACGTTTTTGAGTGTGTGTGTGTGTGTGTGTATATCCATCTATATTTTTATTTGTGGTCAGAACTTAAAATCGTATATGGAAATAGAGGAAAGGTGGAAAGTTGGTAGTGGTGTGCCGAAACCAACGTACGGGTAGGCCTGTAATAAAGAGGGCAAAAAGATATTGCAGGAAAACACACTTTATTGCATACTCGTTATGCTAAACATTTAAAAAAGCTTTCCTGAGTTCTTTCTCAGGCTGCGGGATATATGTGCTGTAGACAAAGGATTTCCATCTGCCCATTCTTTTAAAAGATATGGACTGGTGTGTCCGTACTGGAGGCTGCCCCAATTCTGAAGGAGTGACCAGAAAATGAGGCGGGGCTATGTCCCGATCTTAGCAGCAATGTTCTAAAGTGAAACATGAACTTGGAAGTGGTAGTAAGGGAGAGTTAGCTGGGAGACTGTTGCGCGTGGATAGAAACGAGTCGAGTACTTTAACAGGACACCAGAAGTTATCTGTTGGAAAGAGTGATTGTACTAGGATAGTTAGTCTTAAATGTATGTAGAGACATACTGTAATGGTCGCCGTGTTTGACCATGTCCGATAATTCTAAACATGTGCTGATATCGGATTGACAGACCACAGTGAACTCTCTGGGTCTAAGGAAGCTGTAGAAGGCAATGTAAATGGCTACTTTGATGACAGAGTTAGTCTGGACGTTAAAAGGGTTTGTTTCCAATAGGTCTGATATGTTCCTGAATATGGGTAATCTATTGGTAGTAGGAGGTCGATCTATTTTGTTGATACCTTTAAGAATGGTTTTGATGGGGTATGTAGAAAGAAAAGGTGGGTGATTGGGAAAGGTAGTGAGGACCCGGTGCTGTACACCTGTAAGATACAATTTGATAGTGTTATGTGCTAATTTGAGGATTAAGTGACAAAAAGAGGCAAAAAGCCACCATAATTGAGTAATTATACAAAACATGAAACTCCCCACCAAATTTGTGGAAAACAATCAACGCCCTATCATATGCGGTCTTAGTATTGGCTGAAAAAGCGTTGCGTGAGAGTGACCGTGCATGGGTCAATAATCCCGTTAGTCCAGTATTAGCTCCGGAAATCTTGGTATTCTGGATGGGAGCTCGTTGGCGGAGAGATACACCTTGCAGAATGCCTGAAAATTAGACTGGGACAGTGTTATAAATGCCCGGAATGTGTTCGCACACCAAGAAAAATAGTTTGGTGGCCAGCCACGTCAATTTCCTTGGTCAAGGAGAAAGAGCGCCCTTTATTATTGATCTCGCAAGCTGGCAAATTATTTGAGAAACACTTGACTGCCTTACCGGCCCACAGGTGACGCTAAGTATGGGCAGCAGCTACAATGGGGTAGATCTCAAAAAGGGCTGAAGTTTCCCTGAAGGCCGGTAAAGTAAGTGTTTCTAGAGGCCAAAAACCCCTAAACCACTGGTTAGCAAAAATTGCAGCGAACCCAGTGTTGGCTGCTGCATCAGTCCAAATTAGTGGCCGGTCAGTGGGCAGAATGAACATGGGGATTCCGTTCCACTCTGTCAGGAAGTGCCTCCAAATGCATAAAATCGGCTACGGCTGGGGGATTAAGTACTATGGTGCCATCATCAGGCAAAGCAAATCAGGAGATAAAGGATCTCCCCTGTGGAATGATATGCATCAAGAAATTGAGGTATCCCAGTAAAGACTGGAGATCCCTCTGTGTACCAGAACCTTTTTGGAGGAACTGGTCCAGTTCTTGTCTAATGGGCATCAATTTCACATTGGGGAGTCGTGTCTGCATAGAGACCAAGTCTAGTGAGATACCCAGGAATACCAACTGTGTTGTGGGGCCTATCGTTTTATCAGGGGACAATAGAACACCTAGTGTTGAAAACAGTGTGTGGTGCTAAGGATGCTTCATGGTGTGAGGGAACCTGCCTCGACCAGTAAGAAATCCTCCAAATAGTGCCTGACCATGGGGCATATTCAGGAGCAGCCAACATACAGTCTCTGCAAAGATGTCAAACAGTTTCGGGCTGCTCCTGGAGCCAAAAGGGGGTCTGGTGGCGAAGTAATAATTATCCCTCCATTTGACGCCATGGATATGCCAGAGTGACGGATGGATAGGTAGTAATGTGAATACGTTTGTAATATCCTTCTTACTGAGCCAGGCTTGTTCACCAGCCAGTAGAATAGCTTGTATGGCATATTTCCACAGTGGCGTAATGGAGAGAAAATTCTTCAGCCGGTATTAGTTCATTTAAACTAGGATTGTGAGAGGAATGAGGCGAGGAAAAGTTGATGATCAAAGTTTTTTTAGTAGATGTGCTGTTGGTAACCACTCCAATAGGGTTCGTTCACCATGTGGAAAAAGGAGAGTGCGGAAAAGGATCATAAAACCTGACGTGGTCTCTTTTCGTAGCAACTCGTCAACAGCAGATGGGTCGTTTGTAGCCGAGAGTAAGTCAGGGCATTCTAGTGTGACAGAAGAGAGTGTTACTAGCACGGTGTGAAACCCATTGGAATATCCTGAAATCAAAAATTGCACCAGGTGGTGGGAAGGGTGGTTGTGCAAGTGGTAGGCTAACGTGTTGATGTTGATATCCGTCAGTCATTTCTTAGGGAAAAGCTCAGAGGGGCACATGGATTTTGCATGTGCCCTGATGTAGATGGAGCAAATGTGCAACAACCTGCAAGCGTTCTAATTACAGGTTTCTGCATTAAAGTTGTTGCACACCGGCACCTTGCCCAAAAATTCAACTTGTCTGCCTAGCTCTTTTGTCCCCTTTCCTGACTGATGGAGGGGGTGGTAGAGGGGTCTGCTTCGCAGGGACACAAGTTGGAGGAGTGTGAGGTAGAGGAACAAACCGCACAAGCCAGCAAAATGCGTGCAGAACAGCTCTGTGTCCAACTGACTCCAATCAAGTGTTGGACTTGGTCAGAGTTGCGGCTGCTATAAAAACATTTTTTTTTTTTTAAATATATATATATATATATATATATATATATATATATATATATATATATATATATATATATATATATATATATATATATATATATATATATATATATATATATATTTAATATCACTAGAACATTGACATAATACATCAATTACGTTCTCCTTTCACAGAATTTTTATATTTGTACAATGTAGGTTGTTTATATTTATGTTGCATGAAGGTGCATGCTTCGTTTTTCCAATTACTTCCATAATGCGTCATTTAAAAGGTTTAGTGCACACTGTTTGTTTGCACCTCACTAGTACTTTATAGATTTGTTTCTTACCTATAACTTTGCTTTGCATACAATATAACATGGCATGTATTTCCCATGAATTGAAACTAAAGTGCTATGCTGCACATATACAACACTGCTTCCATTACTTTTTATAGGTTTATAAAGTGTAGTATTAATACATTTTTGGCATTATAACTAGATTTTACACTTTGGAAATACGGTTTCCTCCTGCATGATAGTCTAGCCGGGTCCAGAACCCCTGCTGGTCCATTGGGGCAAGCAAGTGGTCTTTACCTCCAGTGGTTGCTACCCACTTCCAGTATTAAGTTACAACTAGGAAGATTGGTGACTACGATCTGACTCAATTTTCAAGCGCCAAAACTGCAGAGGAGAGTACTGTAGCATGCACCCGCCTGAGGAGCAGACCACATGCTACCCCACCCCCCCAAAAAAAAAAAAAGTAAATGATTCACCAACCATCATCTCTGGCCAAGGAGCAATCCACTCCCTCCACCCCCACTTCAGTGATGAATAAAATAAGATAGTTTGTAGTTGACAAGGCAGTGGGCTGTCACAGGCTGGACTGAAGTCACCAGTCCCCTCGACTTTGGAGTGGGACTTATCTGGGGGCTCTAAAAGGTCTTCCTGTGTGTGATCCAGCCCAAGCAATAGACATACTTCCAGCAATAAAACAGCTAATATACAGGACCTGCATCAGTACTTGTTCATACACCACAAACACTGGCATGGAGGAGCTCGTCTCTGTGTTCAGCAGCTTGCAGCGTTTTGGCTTCTGGCACTGCAAGCTGTCAAAGCTTTTAGAGGGCAACTTGCAAATTGAATTAGTTTGCAATAAACTAGTTTCCTGTGCAATTGTCCAAATCGTTTACACACTATTTCAAGATATGGGTGCATACCCTGGGATTAATGTATACACGAGTCCTAGTGTGATGGAGTTAATCTTTAATGAGATGGAGTGCCAAGAGCTACACAAACACAATTTTGCAGGATATCCTGTTAAAAACACATCAAGAATGACATGACACAATGAAAGAATAAGACCTCCACATCATTCTAGTAAATATATACATTTTATTTTAGTTGGCTATTGGTTGTGCTAAAAGTGACAATTCCTCTTAAAATAGGTCACTTTCAATCAAAAGTATCAGAAATGAACCAAGTGTGTGTGTGGAGATTATATAGAATATTTGAGTTTATATGCCCAAGAAGGACTTCTCAAAGTCCAACTTCGAGACACACAGGTAATGCATTACAGATGATGCATAGCTTCTGTTGAGATCATTTAAAGGAGCTCTAAGCACCAAAACCATGACGTCATAATTAAATGATTTTTGTGAAGGTCCTGTCCCATTTGTCAGACAACATAAAAACATTCCTATTTCAGAGAAACGTTAATGTTTTGCATTTGTCCAAAACCTTGCATCAAGTGACTGTCAGACAGACATGATTACGGATTCTTATAGAGAAGTAGAGGTTCCAGTTCCACTCAATAAAAGAAGTGGATCACAGAGAAGAGCGGCAGATCACAGAGACTGCCATGCATGCATCAAAGAATCAGAAAGCTAATTTACGTGAAGCAGTAGGTTGGACTAAGCTGCTCAACAGTTATGGTCACAGAAGAGGTAGAACAGACTGTGGCAAGGAGACTGTCCCAGGCTGGATTACAGGAGAGTTTAGTTATGTCTTAAGGAACTTAATTTTTTTTTAAATGTTTACTTACTAAAAGCCACAGGTAGTCTAGTAGTTTGTAAGGCAATAGTCTATCCCTGCTTGCTTTTTCAAAAGGACAACAAAGTAGCGAGGCATAGCTCCTAGTAGCATTTAAAAATTTACAAAATTAAAGGGAAACTATAATGCCAGGAAAACAAACTCAGGTCCACCTTCTCTCCTCACCTGCTGACATCAACCGCACTCGCATTAGGATTTCCCTATAAGAAAGCATTATGCGATTCCGGTGATGCTGGAAGTACTCATGCACAGCGTGAAGACGTCCAGAGCAACAGTTAGGTGACCAAAAACGCCTAACGGTCAGGAAGTCCATCTAGTGGCTGTCTGGTAGACAACTACTAGAAATTGAGTTAACCCATAATGGAATTATTGAAGTTTATGAAAAACTGCAATAATTACCTTTGCAGAGTTAATGGTGCCTGGACACTGCCCCCAGACCACTTAAAAGAGCTGAAGTGGTCTGGGTGCCTATAGTGTCCCTTTAAGAATGGCGAATACACATTGAAACATAAGTATTTTAAAATAAATTCAACCCCTCCAAGACACAAAAAATTTGGGAAATGCCATTGTATCCCAAATGTCCTGGCAAGTCATGAGACTTGGTGTCAAGAGACACGAAGCAGAAAAACCAATACATGCTAATGTAGTGTTTTTAGTGCATATCTTCTATCCCTGCAGTCTGACCAGTGTAAGCAGTGCAGTTTCTGTGAAGCATTGGCTTGGCTTGAAAACCTCCATGAGGTGTAATGTCAAGCAGTGCCAAGGCTGGGACAGTGCAGGATGACACAAAAGTAAAATTTCAGAGTAACACCAGCGTTATAAATAATAAACTATACCCTTATTTATAACAAAATGCTAATTAAGCAACTGTGCGCATGCACAGGCGCACACACAAAATAAATAAAAATAATTACAAACTTTACAATGCTACTTAAAATCAACTCTGAGCAAACAAACATGGATATTCAGTGTCTTGAAACAGTTTAAGCAGCAAGTATTGAATGTTCACCTTCCATGTTAAAATTTGTGTTTTACTCCCTGATTTTAGGGTACTGCGACGTAGTGCTGGGCTTAACACAATGGTCATAAGGTGTAACTGAATCCCTATATTTGTATGCCAAGATAGGCTATTTTAAGCAGCCATGTAAAATGTAAAAACTATTTTTTACTATTTTTGTGTGCCCTGATCCTATTCTGTATTTTTATTTATTAATTAATAACAGTGTTACTTTAAATTACAAATTCATAGCGATTTGATAGTATTTTTTTATATGAACCAACCTTTTTACATTTTGGTTATTAAGGAGTGTGTGCATATGTAGTTTCTGATAAACATATGAGGAAAGGTGAAGTGCAATATTTGTCTGCGAGTCGTGGATTTACTTACCTGCCATAGGTGTTGAGGTTACGTTTCACACTGCATTAACAGATCCCTAATTTCTGGAGTAATATGATCAGTAGCCTTGGCAGCTTCTGTAATAGCTTTCCGATACACACCTTTCTTCTTACGATTAAATCGAAGTTTAAAGAATTCAGAAAAAGAAGACAGCTTTGAAATTAACAAACAGGATGTTGACGGAGAACCAAACCATGAAACAGTTGCTTCGTGCCAAGATGGGTCACCATCCTCTTTCTGATTCAAATTAATACTTAGAATACGTGCAGGCCACCAAGGAAAGCCATGAACCTTGCCCCATACAATGTCCCCTACCGAAATGGTCTTTCCTTCTACAGTGATGCAGTTGGGCACACTCTTAGTATGCAACCGAACAGTCAGTGGAGGGACAGTTTTCTGTTCATCTTTGGAAGAGGAAACCGAAAGATCATCACCAGGTATAAGATCACAAAATCCCATGGCGTTTAAGTCCAGAGAAGATTTTGATTCATCCAAACTGTCATTACTGCATAAGGATGCACACGATGAATCTGCTTTTCTTTTTCTGTAATTCATAACCAAATTTAAGTTTGGTCCTTCTGTGTGCCGAAAACCTTTAAAATCATCGTCTTCGCCTGAACTCCCGAGAGACGCATCGTGGAATCGCCTATCTGAGCATTCATCCATACAGAGAAGTGACGAATTGCTATCCGATTCCCTGCTGTTTTGGTGAACGTCTATACCATCGATTAGTTCAGATTTATAGGTTGAAACACTTTTTCTGCCATTCGTCCTTTGAGGTCTAATTCTAATTTTGGGAGGTGGAACTTCTAATCTGGAATGCAAGGGCTTAGTCAACTTTAGTTTTGGAATGGAAGCCATTTGACTGCTATTTGATTCATCCACTAATTTTTTTGGAGTTTGCCAGCTATCATCTTTGGGCAAGCCTTGGTCCCTACTTCCATTTTGTAATGTCTGATTTGGACAAAATGGCTCCACAGAACCATGCACACGAGATGGAATCTTAACCACTTCTCCTTTACCCTGAGGTGTACTGTAAGATATCTTAATAACTGGACTTCTATGCACCAAATCCTTTATTGACTCCTTTTTCTCCTTCGCAGATTTGATTTCATCAGATTCAAGCTTACTTTGCTCTTTGTCCTCCATATGATGCTTTCTGCCGTTTGAAGATTTTTGTTTCTCCCCCTTAACTTCATCAGAATTTAATGTGTTCTTACATTTTTCACAAAGAACTTGACGTGGTCTTAATCTTATGGTACTCATTATAAGCCTCCCAGAGTCCCTGTTTCTTGACATTCTTCTTCTTGTCCTTTTTATAGTCCTTGGAGGTGGCTGAGGAACCCACTGGTTGTAGGAATTTCTCAGCCACAAAGGAGGGGGAAGGGGGGCTCCATCAAAGTAAGGTGGATAGCAAGGAGTAGTCCCGGGTGGAGGAATTAGTGGGGGAACTTGATCTGTGTTACTTGCCATAGGAAGGTCAACATTTTGAAGAGGCATTCCAGACATTGGATGTGTTGTGTTGGCATCTTCAGAAATGTCATTAGAAGTACCATTGGTTGGAGGGTCATCATACTTTGGAAATAGAGTTGGTGGCACACAAAACAACCCCGATCTAAGAAAGAGAGAAAAATGTTGGAGGATTAAGCAGTAAAACATGTAGATTTGGAACAAATACTTAAACTGGTTTGTATCTCAATTGCATTTTTTGTCATTCCATCTCATCTCAACATACATTTAAATATAAGAGGAGACAGAGGGAAAGGATTTCTTTGGGAGAGAGGGGGGCAACATCAGGAGGGAAGCAAGACTAAAGAACATGAACTGAGAATATGGAGTCCAAAACGGGTTGGTTGACTTTTTCTATACTACTGTGGACTGGCAACATTTGACTATCAGTTTGTTATATGGAAAGAACCATAACACTCCAGTTTGCTGTAGTGGTTATGGTGTCAAAATAATTTAAGAATGGTTTGACAACTTATCTAAGGTCCGCCAGTAACAACCTAATCAGACCCAAAAAGACTAGCCAGGCAGTGCAGTACTTAGCTCAGACCACTTAGACTGTCTTTGAGGGCTCCAGGCACGTTGCCAAACCATTAAAAAAAAAAAAAAAAATTTACTCCTTATACTGGAAAGGCGCTAGAATCCTTGAAATGTGTGCAGACCAAAAAAAAAATAAAATATATCAATAAATAAAAATAAATAAATCAGAAAGTACTTATAGGCTCTGATGCTTGGAATGTTGGCATGTCCATTTAAACATACAATTAAAAAAGAGTGTCACTCCACTGCCCAAATACAAATAAATCACTGTTTAGTAGATATAGCCCTATCGAAAACATGCAGGCAATTATTTTATTTGTTTTACATTGGGGGTATATCTAAAACACAGCATACAAAAATTGTAGATTTTGTGTAGGAAGTCCTGCTACTGGTTAGGAAGGGAAGGCTTGCAAATGCTTCAGACAAGATATCTGCAGCATTTGCAATAGCCCCTCATTTATTTATTTGGGCACTTGAGTGTCCTATTAAGGACACTCCAAGCTCCATATGAACTTCTGGCTCTTGCATGGTTTGTCTATCCCTGAATACATTTGCCTGTATAGTGGTTTGGTAAAATTACTACAGCTAAAAGGTCACTTTGTCAGCAAGAGACATCACGTGATAAAACCTTTTCTTCTGCAATTCCAAATATTTGTACAGCTCACATATGCTCATAATACAACTCCCAAAAGTTCAATTAAAGACTTCTGAGAGGTGGTTGTGTGTGCATATACGAATGTAAATAGAGGACCCAGTAAAGTTATTGGCTCACAAAGCAATGCTACACCTCCTATGTGATTGTTGCCAAATGCTTGATTAAATGTCCCATTAAAACCCTGAGAGGTATGCGTTTATGGAATACACCAAGCCAATTCAGGAACAATTATATTGCAGAAGACTATTCCAGATAAGAATTGAGCTCACTGTGAGAGAGTTTAAGTTTATCTCATGAAAAAACAATAAGAGCCCACAAAGTTATCAACTATAAACGTAAAGAATTGTTCAATTATTTAAAGGAACACTATAGAGTCAGGAACACGAACATGTATTCCTGAACCTATAATGTTAACATCCCTATCTATCCACAATTTGCTGGTGCTGGCTCTGCCCCCTTAGCCGACATAATCAGAAGTGATTATATCAGCCAAAAACAATGCTTTCCCATAGAAAAAGCATTGGATTGGCTGAGATCTTAGTCAAGAAGGTGGGCCGGGGCCAAATGCTGCCCTGGCCAATCAGCATTGAGTGAATGCATCTTTATGATGAAAGTTCAGTGTTTCCATGTAGAGGGTGGAGACACTGAATGTCAGCGCTGAACACTGTACAGCACTGCCCCAGGAAGCACCTCTGGTAGCCATCTGTGTGGCCACTGGAGGTATCCCTTTTTTTCTGAAAAGACAGTATTTACAGCAAAAATAAAAAGCTTCAGGAACTGACTATACTCACCAGAACAAATACATTAAGCTGTAGTTGTTCAAGTGACTATAACATCCCTTTAACATAAGCAAATAAAAAAGGCCTACTTCAATGAGAGCTTTTCTCCCATAAAGCTTATTTTGACCGACTAGAAAGTACACTATTTGTTTTACACTTTGTTGGGTCACTTGGCTCAGTATTTTGTTATGGATTATATAACCAGATGTGGAAGGTTAACATCAACACATTATGCCAAGAAAATTTAGCAAGACTTGTTTATTTCCATATTTCGTTATTAATATTGCAATATTTTGATTACCCAGCTATTTACAAGATTTTGTGGTGTCTCAAATGCATTTTGCAGCTTTCAAAAGCATAAGCCCTGGTTATTATTTGCATACAATTACGTAAAGTAAGGCTGGAGGAAGCACAGAAGAATATCCTTAATACAAACCAGCTTTAAACAAAGACCTTGCCAACTGAAAATGAATGAGTGTTTCTCCTCCTAAATTAACCAAAGTCACATGCTGGCATCACACTTGGTCCATAACAATCTCAGCCAATATGCGACATCGCACTTATTTACCAGCAGTGGCTCGGCAAGATGTTTAAGGATGACAAACAGCATATTTTTTTATTTATTTAACCCTTGCAAATAACTTTGAATTTGCAAATCCTATACCAGGATCCCCCAATACATTCTTGGTTCTTAAGAAGTTACAGGTAAAATTGGTTGTACTTACAATTAGAAAACGATTTTAAAAAGTTATCCTTTAATAAATATAAGATTAGTGTCATTTTTTTTTTTTTTACAGGAAGTGGCAAGGGAGAAAACAGGGCTGGGGAGAAGAGACAGCTTTATTTTTGAGAAACCATTGTTTGTATTGTCAAGGATCTGAATAAATTAGTATGGGCCAAACGTGGCGTCTGCCACAGTTGTGGTAAACATTTCCCCTATTTTTTGGGGCCAGTGTATTCCCCATAAATTGCTAGTAGTCAAGAATGGCCATTATTGACCGTTTGCACCCAAATTCTTACCATTTACATTAAAATAAATAAAATTAAAAAAAATAAAAAATTATATATTTTTTTAAACCAACCACAAAACAGTGGTTTTAAATATGCCGCATCACAAAATTAAACTTTTTGATGATAAAAGGTATGCACAAAAACAAATATTTCTCTTTTTCCAATGTGGTAATGGATCTGCCGGTAGGTTTAAGATGATCATTTCCCTTTAAATAGCATGCTGGCCGCATCCATAACGGGGGAGGGGGGGCAGTATTCGATTATATTCTCTGGAGAGAGAGAGAGAGAGTGTCATTGATTCATGCTCTCTGCCGAATATAATAGGAGACAGCACGCTTCGAACAGGGTGAGGCTTTAAGAGCATACAGGCACCACTACACAATGTGGTTAAAAAGGTGCAGTTGAAAACATTTGAAGGGTCTTTTTGTTGTTATGTTTGGAATGCACACCAAGTAAAAACAAAAAACACTTAAAAAAAACAAAAAACAAACAAGATTCTTCAGAAGGCTAATAAAGCATTTCTTGCCATGAAGGCTCATCCAGGACACCAAGGGTATTTACACCGACTGGCACATCAGTAAGAGGCTTACAGAGAAACAAGAGAGTTCAGGAAAGAGCAGTTGACAGTGAAAATAAGGCATATGTCAAAGCGACTACATGCCTTGCATTTGTGGCCTGGAACATTAACTGTGCATGTGCCAGGCACATTAGATAATTAAAAGGGCAAGCTGATATCAGCTTGACTTTACGTAAGGCAAGAAGTAAACACAGGACAGCAGATAATTTAGGAGCAAACTGTTCCCCTCCCCCTCACGGTGTAAGGCTTAAATTCATTAAAGCTGATTATAGCCAAGGACTACGCAGCTGCTTTGTTCCTTCCCCCCTCCCTGACCAATTCACCTTTGCATTTCTAACACTATATTCCAATGCAGAGATCAGGTGCCCTGATAAGAATGTTCATGATTTTCGCAAATTTGAATGGATTAGAATGCACACGCTTTGATTTAGGGAGCTCTCTTTTTTTTCCTGAACCTGTAGTTTTCAGTGTTCACTGTGCCATGTTTTACGGTATTTCTTTTCTGACAGGGATGCACACTGTGCCCCTTCCCCTTTAGAAATAGGAAACCTTAATATAGAAGTTTAAAACGTGCAAAAAAATGTAGCCACTTTGCTGCAAAGCTGCCTTTAGCAAGTCCACTGCAACCTTTTTTCCTCCCCCAATATGGCAAAGCCTTTCACATCATTTAACAGATGTCGTAAAATATATTAGATCTGATCATTGGTATATCGGATGTGCCGTTATACGTTTAGCCATCCACAAAGGTCACGGCTTAAACAGGTTTTCCATATTTACATTATATGTGCCATCAAAATCTGTGTGATAGAAAAAGAAATCAGAATAAATACATTGAAAAGCAATTATATTCCACAAATACTTTAACATTTCTAGGATTAATTGGGAGGAAGGAAATAGGGGAAATGTTGGGGGACAGCCACTTCAGAGCCGAATAGCTAATGTTCGTAAGTGCAGTTCCTTACCTATGTATTGTCCTAGTATATAACCATTGCCTGCATTTTGTTTATTAATATTGTATTGGTTCTATTAATGCATATTACCTGTAGTTTCAGTATGTAACGTACTAATAAAACTCGTGGTCTATTAACCCGAAACAGAGCATATGGCGAAGTGGACAAAACTATATTTTGAGTTTTATACTTACAATTTAAAGAATAAAGAACTGAGATCAAGACTCATATGGACAGGGCCCTAGTGTGCTTTCACAATACATAATCAGATGTTCGAACACTTTCAATGTCTTGCACACAGTTACAGAGCACAGACAAAGTAACGTAATATAAACTAAAGGTTTCATCAAATGTAATCTCGGTACATGCTGCATTGGTAGTAGCGATGTTTCTGCAGACATATTCGCCTATTTCTCACGTGCTACAGGGGTACAAAAGGGACACTGTAATGTTAAAATTAAATCTGACGCATATTACAATGCAATGAGAGCGATAAAAAAAAAAAAATTTAGACAGCATCCATGCACCAAACTATTATAAGCTGCAGTGGTTGTGGTGTTCCCTTTTAATACGGATTTTCTCACACACACACCTGTCCACATGTGTTAAACCCCTCCAAACTCATCAAGTGCAACAAGGCCTTGGAGTCATGGGTGTTTACTCACTAAACTATGAAATGTTAGAAGTCAAAATACAAAAATGTCTAAAAACAGCAGATCTGGTAAAATAAATAAATAAATAAATCTCCAAGTCAACCAGTTACAAATTAGCTTTTTTTAAAGGCTTAATTTGATCGTGTGCATTTTAATTTGTTACAGTCAGTACAAAATGTAGTAAATAACCAGAAATAAGAAAAGTTACAGCTGTTAAAGTATCCACCTGAATGGTGTCAGCTTTATTATACAAGGAGCAGCCTAGGGGGTCCCAGGGGATGGCTGTGCATAATGGGAGTTGTAAGTGTACAGCTGGAGAGACCTACCATCACTGATAGGAATAGTTTGTGTCCAGCCCTGTATGGTGAATAGAGTTAATTAAATCCCAGTTAATGATAGGACAGGAGTCAGGGAGATGGATCCCAGGTTATTAATGTTACCCAGTGCAATGCCATGGGTATACAATAACCCCCAATATCCCCATGGCTGGCCGAGCATGCTGGGAGTTGTAGTCCCCCGGGGGTGTACTTACTTCTTGGTGCAGTCCAGCAGGATCCCGCTGTAGGTCCTGTTCCCGCAGCTCAGGCTCACCACCAGCGTGTCGTTCACAACCTGCTCCACGAGCACCGGCACCGACGAGCCGACCCGCAGCTCCTGCCCGGCCTGGGCCTCCTCCATGCTGGCTCCGGCCCGGGGCCTGCCTGCCTGCCTCCACGTCCGAGCTCCGGACTCCGGCAGCACCGCGGCCGCCGCTGCCTGCTGTGGGACAGCGCTGCTGGTGATGTCACGCAGGGCTCCCCCGCCCCTTGTTGTGGCTCACGTTCACCCCCCACCACCTCCTCCTCCTCCTCTCTCGGGGCTATTGTGACCTCACGCCGGGATTCACAACTATTGTGACGTCACAGCGTGGAGTCCAGGCAGCGTGGACTACCACAGGGGCAGCACATTGTGGGACAGGGTTATGGTGTCACATTGCAGGGCTTGGCCATACCCTCAGGCTTGCTGTGATCCAGGGACTTGACTTTTGGCTACCCCTGATCCAGTGACTCGACTTTTGGCCACTTCTGATCCAAGGACTTGTCCCTTTGACTTCTCCCGATCCAGGGATTTACTTTTTGGCTACCCCTGATCCAGTGACTTGCTTTTTGGCTACCCCTGATCCAGGGATTTACTTTTTGGCTACCCCTTATCCAGGGACGTGCTTTTTGGCTACCCCTGATCCAGGGACTTGCCTTTTGGCTACCCCTGATCCAGGGACTTGCTTTTTGGCTACCCCTGATCCAGGGACTTGCTTTTTGGCTACCCCTGATCCAGGGACTTGCTTTTTGGCTACCCCTGATCCAGGCACTTGCTTTTTGGCTACCCCTGATCCAGGGACTTTTTGTCTATCCCTGAACCAGGGACTTGCTTTTTTGCTATTCCTGGTCCAGGGACTTGCTTTTTGGCTATTCCTGATCCAGGGACGTGCTTTTTGCTACCCCTGATCCAGGGACTTGCTTTTTGGCTACCCCTGATCCAGGGACTTGCTTTTTGGCTAATCCTGATCTACCTTTATCCATTGCAATGCAATGCATGAATGGTCATTCTTAAATATCAAAGTTGGTTGCCCACTGCAAGCACCCCAAAAGTCTTCAAAGCAAGCGTTCTATAATAATAAGATGTTTTAGGGTTGTTCACTAAAAAGTAGAATTTAAGGGAATTCAAAGTAAAATTTAAGGCTAGAATAGAGAAATTGGGAAAATTTTACATGTCTGCTACGCTTCCTTTTCAGCTACTTTGGTGGTATAATTTAGAATTCACTTTCAGGGTTTTTCAATAAAGTGAGAATTCAAAGTGAATTTCAAATACTGTATAACGCCAACATAACTGAAATGAAAACACAGCTGATTTAGAGAATTTTTCCAGTTCTGCTATTTCAGCTTAAAATTTTAAATTCACTCTGAATTCTCACTTTAATTAACCATGTTAGAATTCCTGATAGTTCACTTTGAATATGCTATAGTGAATGACCAAGATGGTGTAGTTTTTACAGCAATTCTGGAATGATGTGCATATTTGGAACCTTTCATATGAAGAACTAAAAATTTAAAGGACCACTATAGTGCCAGGAAAACATACTCGTTTTCCTGGCACTATAGTGCCCTGAGGGTGCCCCCACCCTCAGGGTCCCCCTCCTGCCCGGCTCTGGAAAGGGGAAAAGGGGTTAAACTTACCTTTTTCCAGTGCTGGGTGGAGAGCTCTCTGCCTCCTCTCCTCCTCCGATCCGCCCCATCGGCTGAATGCGCACGCGCGGCAAGAGCTGCGCGCGCATTCAGCCGGTCGCATAGGAAACTTACAATGCTTTCCTATGGACGCTGGCGTGCTCTCACTGTGAAAATCACAGTGAGAAGCACGCAAGCGCCTCTAGTGGTTGTCAATGAGACAGCCACTAGAGGATTAGGGTGAAGGCTTAACCCATTCATAAACATAGCAGTTTCTCTGAAATTGCTATGTTTATTAAAAAATGGGTTAACCCTAGCTGGACCTGGCACCCAGACCACTTCATTAAGCTGAAGTGGTCTGGGTGCCTAGAGTGGTCCTTTAAAGGGTTACTCCAACCACCATGATCACTTTAGTGATTTCAGCGCTTATAGCTTCAGCACAGAAAGTCTCAGTGAGTGGAGTATTCCACAGCACAGACTGAAAGTGTGAGCTTCGGAAAAAAGGGGTGGGGGCTCATACAGCTTCCACAAACACCCAATACCAGCCCTGTCTCTCTTTTGTCCTCTGGTGTCTTATGGTGACAACAGAAGACAAAGGAGGGATAGTGCTGGCAGAGGGTGTTGAGAGTGTGTGTGGAGGCTACTAGTGGGGTTGCATGTGTGCTGCTTGTGATGTGTGTGTGTGTGCACACAGGGGTATAGGTGCTGTAGTGGGTGCAGGGGGTGATTGGGGCTGTAGTGGGTAGAAATGAACAATTGCTCTAGTGTGTATAGGGATATGCACACACATACATATATTAATAAAATGATGACATTTAATTCCCCCTCTTTCTTGCTTACCTTGACCAGGGAGGGGGAATGCTTGTCCCTGGTGGTCCAGTGGGTCGATCATTTGGTAAGCACCCCTTGGTATGCAATCACTGCTTCCTCCAGGTCTAAGACACATAACATATCATATTGTTACTGTGGTAACTTGTGATTTTCCCTGTCAGCCTCGACTCATGTAAAATAGACGACTTAGCCATACATGAGGCCCCAGTTGGCCACCTAACTCTCCTAAATAGAGAACTAGCTCTGATTATAATATGCAAGTGACGACCAATTTGGATACTTTATGGGGAGAATGAGTGATCCAGCATGCGTTAAAAATAACATATCTAACACTATTTTAGAGATAACCCTATGCAATGCCAGATTGGGGTAATCTAGAGCCCTGGGCTCTTTCCTGTGAGTGTTGTGTGTGGAAGGGCTTCTGCGTGTGGCTTAGTGTTGTGTGTTTGTGGAATGCTGTGTTGTGTGGTGTTCCCCGCCTGGCATGGTTGCCAACTGTCTCGTTTTTGCTAGGACAGTCCCAGCAAGCTGGAGTCTATACCGCCAACTTACTGGGCCATGTGCTTTCATTATTTTCCCTCTGACCGTAACAGGACTGTCTGAGGGAGTTCAGGAGGGAGGTGCTGGGGGCTGTAGAGAGGTGCTGGGGGCGAAGGGAGCACTGACAATCTCCCTTCCGAATTCCCAGCAGCTTCCCCGACACACAGATTCCTGCTCTGCCTTGCGGCTGCAGGCTCCACCCCAACGACACAACCTCCGCCCGCGTGTGGTAGCTTCACCTCTCGCACGAAAGCCCCGCCCCTGCTAAGCAGCAGACCTTGCTGCAGGAGGTAGAGGCCCAAGATGGCTACCTGACCTCCCAGCTACAGCCTCCAGTGCCAGATCGTCTTAATATTCTCAGCTTTGTGTGTGTGTTTATGTGTCTGCTAATGATAAAGCTTGTGTGTGTGTGTGTGTGTCAGTGAGTTTGTATTTAGTGAGCTTGCCCACTGGGGATGCAGACCGCTAGGTGCCTGGGTCCCGTCTTCATAGCAGTGGACATGCAGGTCCAGCCATGCAGTTCCATCTCTGGACTGCACCTCAGGCAGCGATGGCCTTGCAGGGGCCAGCCAGGGAGACCTTTTGATCTCCCCTGTTGGCCTCTGCCCATGGCCATTGTGGCACACACGTGAGGATTGAGGAGATTGGGGCCTACTCCTAGAGTTCTGCTCTGTGGGTGTTTAATGTGTGGGAGACTAATAGGGTAATTCCCTAAAATCCGAATGGTCACTTACAGAATGGTTCAAAACCTGTACAGGGCCATTTGGAATGCAAATCCAGACATTGTTCGCACTATTTAGCAATGTCCAGACTTTGCAGAGCAGGCTCTGAACAAGCTCGAATATGGTCCGGATTTCAGCCAAATGCTACCAGAAATCCAGAGTTAAAAAAATGCTATGTCCCCACTGCCCTTACTTATTAAAAGCCACCACTGATGATTAGCCAGCCACCATTGATGATTAGTGGGGGCTGTTTAATAATCAGAAGTGGCTATATGTCCCCCTCAGCCACCACCAATGGGAGGTGTGTGAGGGCTAAAAATAAAATATACAAAGTGGACATACAATACAAACATGTAAGACATTGTTACCCCCGTGGTGCCCAAGCTCCTAGCCACCACCCAAATAAAAACAACGTAGCTACATCCTCATTCTGTGGGTGGAGGCTATGTCACCCCTATTTAATAAGTAACCCCCATCTGCTGAGTGCTGACCATTTTAATTAACCCCACCTTTCTGTTTTTGGCAGTGGGGTGGACCAAGATCTGTCCACCTGTATTATTTCATTTAAAGCTCCCACCTGATGCCCTTGAGTCCGGGTATGAGGATGGGTCCTGGTTCCCCGTTGTTTTGCGTGCTCCTTCTTCCCATTAAAGGTGCAGGGAGCTACACCTCCTTGTGGTGGTGAGAGGGCACATGTCTGAGCAGAAATAATTTTTGATTTCCCTGCTGGCACAGGGAGGGCCCCCTCTGTCAGGATTACAAGTTGATCCAGCACGTAGAACTGTATCACACTTAGGACTAACAGGTAACGTCTTACCGGGCCTTAGAATGGCCGGACTTAACGTACCAGAGAATAGTCAGAATACTTGCCGAGGTCGGGTACACAGAATGAGACAGAACGATGAGAGAAAGCCAAAAGTCAGGGATACCAGAATACAGGGAAGCCAAAGTCAAATAACAGAAGTAAATGCTCAGAAACACCCTCTCGGACAACCACTAGGGAAACCATGACAGGGCAAAGAGGAGAAGGAGAAATGCGTTTAAATAAGCCCTTTACCCGCTTCTCCCAAACCCATCTCTCTTTGAGAGAAACTTGGGAGATATACAGGATAGATGAAGTCAGTAAGGCAATGCAATCCTTGTGACACTTTTCATTGGGTGACTCCCCCCTGGACTCCCGCTCTCCCTTCCCGCCTCCTTTCCTCATCCCTCCCATATCCACCCCTAACTGTATCTCTCTTCTTCCTCAGACCCTCGAGAATGCTTTATATTTTTCTAGTTCCAATCTTGGAACCATCTTTCATGTTCTTTACAATTATAAGATCGTACACACCGGAACTATCAGGGGTATACAGTTCAGCTAGAGAAGCAAATGCGATTATGCATAGTACCCCTGACTGTTCTTAGTGCAAGCTACAGCACGATAGTTATATATTTTATTTTAACACAAAAACACCAAACGGGATGTCTTGAGATGCTTAAAGGAATTAACCACACCTCGGCAAATGCAAGCAAAACTGCAATGAATGATTACGAATTCTGTAATATGTAAAAATTTAAATGTGCAGTTTTGCGAAAACTGTTTGTTACGGTTTCCTCCAGGCTGGCTGGAAGTTGGACCGTAGAAAGGATGCTCCTAGCGCTCACCAAAGGACCATCAGCACAGTAGACACCATAAGTACTGCAGACTCCACGGACCACCGCTGCTGGGCTAGGATCTCGCCGTCTGCTATCCACCCTGGACCTACGACCAGGCTCCAGGTTCCAGTAGGTGAACCTCTTCCTTCTGTAGAGCGAAGCAGGATCAGGAACAAGAGCTCAGTAGCTAAGAGAGTATGAAGAGCATAGCAATCCCTGTAGTGATTATAGCTGTCCCCTACAAACATGAGTCAAGGCTGCAAGTTAGAGGGTCAAGTCATTCTGTTTATTGACACCAAAAGAACCTTCTTTTATGCAGGTTTCCCTTAGATAGGAGTCCCATCGTCTCTGCGGCTGAAAGTTCAGTATGGGAGAAGGTAGGGCTCAGCGGTGTTCGCAGAAATGTGTAGCCGATTTTAGTTCCATGAAGTTGGCTACACATACCGCTGACCTCGTGCGAATGATCAAATATGGCCGCCGCCACGTGTTCGGCAAACGAACAAAGGCCACCCAGCATAGTCAATTAAGCTGCGGTTAACCGCGGCTTCTGGGAGGTAAATTGCCGACACACTCCCAATACAGGTGGTCCGCCTGTGTGGTACTTGGTTCAGTAAGCCCCATTTACTGAACCAAGTGGGAAATAGCCAGGAACAAAGGGTTGTAACCAGGTCTGGGGACACCGTCTTAAAGGGGCAGTGTCCCAAACAAGCCTGGGGACACCGTCTTAAAGGGGCAGTGTCCCAATCTTCCCTATGCCCCAAAAAGGTGCTTAAAGGGCCAGCACCAGTCCCATAAAGAGTCCATAAGCCCCAATATGCCCACCGACTGTCTTAAAGGGCCATACACACCGAATAAAAGTCCATACGTTTTCACAATCTCCCAGGGGCCATAGTCATGCGGAAGCTGGCAAATAGGCTTCTCCACAACCCAGGGAAGCAGGGCAATTTGTCATTTAAAGGGCCAGTTACAAATAGCAGTTTGTAACACTGTTGTAAGCCGAAAACTGCTGCATATATGCTTATTTTGAAAATGTATTAACATGGTTATGTGTGCTATGTATAAGTTGTCCTGCTGTGGAACAAATAAAGAATAAAAAAAAAAAAATAAGCCCTTTACAAATTTGATTGGCCAAAATTGCCGACGTCGTCATTACCAGGGGAGTGGAAGTGGGGCTATAATTTGATATCAAAGGAGACTTCTTGTCAGTGTAGCAGGATTTACAGGGGAACCCACAAGTAAACTGCCCTGTGCCCTGTAGATCCACCTCAGATTACTGTTTTGACGTTTTTAATAAGAATGTATCTCCTGTACTAGCTGACTCTTGACTTCTTGGCAATAAATCACTAGAATTGTATATGGTCAGTTACTTTGATATGGGTAATGGTAAGATTGACAAAGCCATGTGTTAATAGGTCTGATGACTAAGACGGCCTTTAATGTAACAGAGCCACCAGCAAACTGTGGTATTGACAATAATAAAAAGCTTCTTATGAAGTTCGAAGAGTAGAGTTCAAACATTTTTGTAATATTGACAAAGGCAAGCTATGGTGTCACTTATCAGCAAGTGGTGTTACTTGCCAATGCACACTAGCATGGGTGCAAACATTCTTGTTTTACCCTGAGGCGCCCTGCAGTCTCTGGTTACACCCATTTTCTTTACTAAAGTGTGTGGGGGGAGGGGGTGTTGGAGATGTGACACTTCTAATTTGCACTGGGGGGTGGGTAATGTGCCACAATTGGCTGTTTGGCACCAGCATGCTGGCATCAGACAACACATTTGCACAGAATTTACATTAGTACCTGGAATTCTTGTTCTGCGCTGGCAAATGACACCTCTTAATTTTGATCTTCCAGCTGTTTAGCAGATAGCTCCCCTATTTGCTATCCTTATGTGGAATTGTCATATTTACGGACACCAAATAAGGGAGCTTTGTGCTAAACAGAGCAATCATTTATTTTGCTTAACCCCTTCAGGACAGGCCTGTTTTTGCGATGTTGTACGCGAAGGACCAGGGCTCTTTTAACACTTTTGTGGTGTTTGTGTTTAGCTGTAATTTTCCTCTCTCTCATTTACTGTTCCCATACAAGTTCAGTGGCGTACATACCGGGGTCGTACACCAGGGGGCCCGGCCGCCCCTGCGACCCGGTAAGTACCCAGTATGGCCAACCTCTTCTCCTGGGGGGCCCAGGAGCCGGCCACCTCAGGGCCCCCCGAGGCTGGCCATGGTGTCACCCTGCGGGCTGGTGGGCGCGCAAGGGTGCACTCTCCCCTGAATGCTTCCTCTTCAGCTCCATCGCGCACCGCACTGATACCGGAGCCGGAAGATGACGTCATCTTCCGGCTCCGGCATCAGTACGCGGCGCGTGATGGAGCTGAAGAGGAAGCACTCAGGGGAGAGTGCTCCCTCGAGCACCCGCCTGCTTGCCCGCCGGGTGACAGGCCGCCCAGGAGCCCAGCAGCACCACTGGACCCCAGGGAATTCCCTCAGCACTCCAAAAGGTAAGAAGGCTGGGGGATTACATTTTTTAAAAAAACGTGTGTGTTAGAGTGCGTGTTAGTGTGTGTGTGTGTGTGTGAGTGTTTGTGTGTGTTAGAGTGTGTGTCTGCTAGTGAGTGTGTTACTGTGTGTTTGTGAGAGTGTATGTTTTGTAAGTAAGTGTGTATGTATGTCTGTCGCTGAGTATGTCTCTGTCAGTAAATGTGTGTGTCTGTTAGCTAGTGTGTATGCGTCTGTTCGTGAGAGTGTGTGTGTGTGTGTCTTCAGCACTTACCTTTCTCCAGAGCCGGACTCCCTTTGGCGCTGGGGATCCCTCCGCCTCTCAGCTCCGAATGCGCATGCGCGGCAAGAGTCGCGCGCGCATTCAAACCGCCCATAGGAAAGCATTACTCAATGCTTTCCTATGGACGTTCAGTGTCTCCTCACTGTGATTTTCACAGTGAGAATCGCGGAAGCTCCTCTAGCGGCTGTTAATGAGACAACCATTAGAGGCTGGATTAACCCTCAGTGAAACATAGCAGGGACCTGGCACCCAGACCACTTCATTGAGCTGATGTGATCTGGGTGTCTGTAGTGGTCCTTTAAGTGTGCATGATCTGTATGCACTGGTGTACATACCGCAGTCGCATGGTTCGCAGCCCTGCAACCCCTGCGACCAGGTGCCCGCCGCCATATGTTGCGGCCCCGGCACGCGCAGAGTAAGCGTGAGGGGGGGAGGGGCCAATGGATCAATTTTCGCACCGGGGCCCCATGGGTCATGTGTACGCCACTGTACAAGTTATATAT